GGATATAGCTGCTTAAGCAGGGCGGAGGGGGTGTAAGAGGATAGAGGGGTTAAAAGGTTGTGATCCGTAAGCCAAGTAGCATTGATCAAACCACTTCTGAGTGGGACACCCTTGCACAGGTGTCACTGGATCCATAAAGTGCAAGGTAGGAGATAATCAAGAGAGTAACCAATGTATTCATTATGATGTTGCTTAGGAGGTTTCAGGCTTTCCAGCTAAATTTGGTGAAGCGCTGTGCCCATCTCAGCTAAAGCAGCTTGTAGCAGTTCCGCTTCCCTTTTTGTATCAAAACAAAAGTTTGAATCAAAAACATGCTTGGGAGTAAGTCTCGGGGCGGGGGGGGAAGGTTGCACAGAGCCTTTTTTGGTACGTATCATCTCAAGCACAAGGCAAAAGTGGTCAAGAGTTGTAGCCCAACAGTGCAGATGGGAGGAAGGGGGAGAGATGCTCCCAAGAGAGCTCAGAAAGCCTGATGGAGAAAGCTGCAACAAAGCAGCAGGACCAGATGGTTTAATCCCTCCCTCCCCTTCTCACTGCCTTCGGCGCATCTCTGAAATTTGTTCAAGTACCGGCTGTGACATGGAGTAGGACAGTTAGGGACGTAAAACAACCGGGACTCGTCGTGATGCAGTCGCTGTGAGCATCCGAACAATGGGGTAAATAAGAGACCAAACTAAGGCAAAGCAACGCAGGAACTGAGGGCAGCTTTGGGGTTTTGAATGTTGTGAGACGGTATACATATGCATTTTTTTGCAGCTTTGTAGTAATATTTTCTGTTGAGGCTGCAACGAAACACTGAAATTCAGTCTGCTGCACCGCTGAGCTGATGCGGGCCCATTTCCATGAAGCCCAACGTTAGCACGCTCAGACTCTCTGAAATCAGACCGTAATGTGGGTTGACTACTGCTCTCACGTTCTGTATACTTAGTCCAGCTGCTTGAAGTTTTATCTGTATTTAAACACCCTGGAAGAGGATGCCAACTAGTTAGTTAGACACTGTAGAGTCTTCCTCCCGCTGCAAAGGTGCCAGAAGCTTCTAGCAGGATTAAGGCACAAGCTCAGCTCCGTGGGACAAACTGTGCCGCTAGTTGAAGACGTAAACAAACCAGAGCACGCAGCCAGCCAGGCAAAAGCTCACGCAACCGCCTACCCTGAAGCACCGATCTAAACAGCCCAAGCTACCACTGCCTGAAACATCACTAGGGTCACAGACCATAAAAAGAGATGTTAACTGTAGGTGCCTCAGGATAAATTCATTCCCTAGAGAGAACACAGAGGATCCAGTCATGCTGCTAGTGCCGGGAGGTTTGGCAGAGAACTTAAAAGAGAGATGAGACCGCGCCTCGGTTTCCAGGTTCTCCTGCATTATTTCTTCTGCTGGGCACTGTTGGCCAAACTACAATCCAGGAACTATTTTTCTTTCCTTATGTCTCCAGGTGCTAGGCCAAAGGGTGGAGCCCCTTTGGTAGTGCTAAAGCCACAGGCTTCCCTGCGTAACACCACTTCTCTGCACGTTTCACACAGGAGGGCGATGCCTTCTTCCGTAACGGGGAACGAGCCAGAGCAAAGGCCGCGTTTCTCCTCCGCCCTGAGCATAAGTTAACCACCCCTTCCCCCATATTTATGTGTTATAATTAAAAAATAAAGCAGTAAGTACAAGTCGCTACTGACTGAAATAGCTTCCTGTTTCCACCTTGTAGTTCCCACTGGAAATCGCCACTTGAAAAATAAAGAGAAGGAAAAGAGCTTTTCAGAGATGGTGGTGTTTTCTCGTGTGACAGGATAGCTCTTCCTAAGCCTGTACTTAACCTGAACTTGTGCTGTGTTTTAGAAAGATAAACCCAGCAGCTGATTAACAAATGCTGCTCTCATCCCGAATTACTCAGAAGCTCTGTGGAGGTCACACTAGTACCAAATGAGATGGTTCTAATCAGGGGTATAACGGCAAATACAGATTAGTTTATAATTTATGCAAAATTAAGTGGTCATCAGGGATGCTGATTTAAGCCTCTTGGAAGATAACAGAACACAATTCCAAACTCTTTCTTCTTTCTTTTCAGCATCTACTAAAGAAAGGTGTCCCTAACGTGCATGGTGAGAAAGGTCAGAACTTAGGGCACATCTGATAGTACCTTGCTGAGTTTAAAAGTTTCAAGTAACATGACTTAATAAAAGCTCATTTTCTATTTCCAGGTCTTGTTCCTGCCCTGTGGACTTTTGTCCAGCCCGAGAAGATCAGCCTGCCCCCACGCAATGGCTTGCCAGAGCTCACAGATTTCAGCACTGCTATTCTGCTCCTCTGAGCAACGGTTCGGGACAGGACAGTTTACTGGGTAAGCCCGGACTAATAGAGCTATACTTTCACTTACACAGCTGCATTTCCAGGGCAGCTCGACCAGGGATGGATTTTCATCACTGTAATACAGAGCAGAGTTTTGTTTTCGAGGAAGGAAGGGAAGCTAGCGGCTTCCCTTCTGCACAGGAGGTGTTTCAGCTGGGGAACCATTTTCCTTGAGATGGTTTACACCAGGGTAAACCTACAAGACAGGGGATGCTGGGAACAGGAGAAGTGAGACCAGACTGAAGCCTGAGAGCTTAAGGACCCAAGAGATGAGATGAGCTGACCGGGCGTTTACTTCAAGCAGATTGAAGGCATGCAGCTCAGATTTGCTATTTACACCCTCCTTGCTGGGGCCAAATACACCTTTCACCTACGCAGCCTGGTAAAAAACTTAGTTACCTGATACCTCTGGACTGTATGGAACTGAGCATGCAATATCAATGTTCTCCCATTCTGCTTTCATGAACTCCCAGTGTTTTTAGCATAAGATTATTCTTGCACTTACCTGCAAACAGTTTTGCAGTTTGTATAGATCCCATTTGAATGAAGTGTAGTGCTCTCTGAACACAAACACAAGGTTACAAGAAGCTTCATAAATTTCTAACAACCTATTGGAGATTTGCTGGGCAATATCATATAAAAATTAGTCTAAATTACATTTCAGAGCTGGACTCTTGAGAGAGTGACTGACATGGCAATTAGGAATAGTATTTCTAAAAAAAATTCAGTTGAAAGAACACAAGCATTCACATCTGCAAAATACTACTCCAAATCTTTTTCAAATCAGCAGTTTAGTCATTGTAACCTACTGGCTGATGCACTGGGGGCATAATACGTCATTGCTCTTAGTCCAGCTCCAAATGAAACGATCACAAAACATATCACAGGGTTTTTTGGATACAATCTCAAAGCAAGTTACATAATCATTCCAAATAAATGCACTGGCAGCTGAATTACCACTGATCCCTAAACCTGGCAGCACAGCAGGATTGTATCTACTCTCTAGAACATCTCTTTCTTGTCCTAAATTAGCCCAAATCTGTCTTTTAAATATTGCACCGTATCCTGCATTTTCATATAATAAATATTGATTAAAAACTCCCAGGCAAAATTTAAAAAGTTCTTGTTTTCATAGCTGCAGGACACCAATTAACGAAGAAAAGGAATGCAGTTCACTTGAGAACCGCAAAGATACATTGCCAGTAATGACAAGGAGAGCATGAGGCAGATCAGCAGATAAATTAGACTCTAGAAAATTCATACCCTTCACCACTCTCAGTAATTGCTTTTTTGCTGTACCTGTATAACCTGGTGCACAGAAAAGAAATGTCATTACTTACAAAGGTAGACATGGAATTAGGCAATGGAAATAACAGCCATAAAACAGATGAGCTGGGCACCAAATGCTCCTCCGTACAGATATGTTCCTGTGTTCCGATGGGTCCACGTAACTTGCCAGTGCAGACACAGTCCTTCTCCCCGTAGAGGTACTTAGCTTACTTACATGCCTTAAACTAAGTGGAAGCGGAACTGAAAATCTTCTACTCTTCCATGGTCAAAAACTTAAAGCCTGCATGTAAACATTTTTCTTAATTGTCGAACTTTTAGTATTGGGCTTTGTTGTCACGGTATTCACCTATTCCTAGTTAATCCAGGCTGTAGTTTGCCTTTTTGTAGTTCACTTGAGGTGAAAGAAGCTCCCCATCAAGAAAATTGTAAAAGCCTATGGTATCACTTCTCTCGCATTAAGGACCTATTCACGTAAATAAGGCCTTTTGCTGTTTCTCTGCATGAGCTAAATTCCACTACACTTCACCAGTAGGCTCTTGTGTTTAATTTAAGACAAAAATTTTCTGCTTTCTACTGCATTTAAATCTCGATCTATATCTCCTGTACTTCCAATGATGCCCATAGATTGCCAAAAAAAAGATCATCTTGTTCTGTTGCGATTGTTCTGCTGCACACAAAGCAACCTGGCTGGGCGTTTTACTGTTTTATTCCCCTTTGCAGTTACAGCACTTTTCATTTTCCTATCACGTGGAAAAAAACAGCACGAAAATAGCCAAAACTTCAAAAAAGAAATTATATGCATGTCAGTAATCACTTGTGTGCAATGGGCCTCTGTACCCACACGACAAATACCTCTCTAGGCTCTAAGTGATCGTTACCAGTCAATTTTAGAACTAGAGTAAAAGTGCACTAGGTGCAAAGCCATCACTAAATACTGAAATTTAGTAAGCACTGTCTGTTATTTACATGATAAAAGAATGTATCAGAAGCAACACGTGGAGAGTAATCTCTCCAAGTTTACAGCTCAGCTCAAAGACAGAATATATAAAATTTTTTCGTTAGTTTCAAGATTATTAAAAAATGCTTCCCTCATGCTGCATTTATGAGGAACTCATAGGAAGGTGTAACAACCAGCCTGCTGAGCATGCCATAACTTATTAGCCTGCTACCACTACGATAAGCACAATTCAATTAATAACGATTGAAAAAATTAAATCTGTATTTTATTAGGAGATTCAAAACTGAATGTCAAAGAGAAAACAATTATAAATACACTCTGGTTCTGGTTACTCCAGGCCACCTTTATGGGAACAAGCTTCTCTACCAGCCACATAATTGAGAGCAAAAACTTTGGGTTTTCTTAGACTCATCAGCTCAAGAATTCACAAATAATTAAAGCACGTGAATTTGAACAATTAACGTAATTCCATTTTCCAGAGTCTTGTATTACTGCACAGTCTTCATTTTTTAGATTATTTGGTTCTCCAGCATTCCAGTTTCTGTAAGTTACAGCCCCTCCGTTCCGATACATGAACCTGCCTTCAGTCTGTTCATCGGATATCCCCAAATAAGCCTGCTTTGAAGGTCTTACTAAGTCTTCTAAAGCTGTATTCTCAGCCTCGTTCCTAGGAGAGGCAAGTGCGCTTCCAGCTTTTGCACAAAGGGGTTTTCCATTGTCAAAAGTATCGTCTTTTCCAGTTGAGACAATTTTTTTTTTTACCAGTACTCTTCATGTTCTTTAAAATCAAAGCTAGAAACAAAAGTGAACGTAATTGTATTATACCAAAAATTGATCATGCTATAGTTATTTATCCATATCACAACTGCACTTCAGAAGTAGCTAATAGCAGCTATAAATAGACTATTTGTTGAAGCAGTAGGCAGAATCCAATAGAAGTCAAACAAAATAGACACCTGGAAATACCAAGCCCACACTTCAAGAAAACCAGAATTTCACAAGAAACTGGATCACAAGTCTTGTTCTAATGTTTTTCATTTTCAGTTCATATAGTATTACAGCTCTTGAATCAGGATCCGAAGGAATTTGCACTCAAATTGCAAGCATGACAAAATAGTTTGCTAGGTTTCAATGCAAGAATCACAGATCAATTAAAATCATACAAAGGAACTGAGCTGCAATTAGGAGATCTTCTGTACCCATCAGCTTTAGCGCAGAAACCAAAGCTGAGGGACTGTAACGAAATTCAGGGTTTAAAGCAACAGAGCAGAAAGAGGAGACATAGGGACAGCTTTAGCGAGCCTGGGAAACTGAGTATTTCTCCAGAAAATATAAATTATCTTAGGAGAAGTAGTAATATATAGCTCACATGCTTGACAGGCTTTCATGAAAAGCCAATGGAAAGTGAAGCTCTCGTTCATTTAGCAGATAAAACCGCTAGCAGCCATTCCTTGGAAACACAGTTGCTGTCTTTACTGGACAAGTTATTTTATCTTATTGTCTTTAACAGGTTTCTGGGCCTAGCGTGAAGGGAGTCTACCACCTTATAACAATGATGATACAAAAACTGGGACATAGGCATAGTTAAATCTTCCCCTGATGTTGTGGGAATGGTACCAGCACAACGCTCTTGCGCTACGCTCCTGTGCCAGGTAAAACCTCCACAACCGTTTCAGACACCCTTTTCTAGGGTGCTGATACATGAGCACAGGAGAACAAAAGGGAGATGGCTGAAGAGATTACTGCTACCCGCTGTTCAGCCTCTCCGTGCTCTTCAATTTCTTGCCCCCATTTCAGCTTAACTTTCAGGCTTTACACACAACTATGGCTTCAAAGTTGTGCTTTCTCCAGGGAAGACACCCCCTTGGAAGGATGGCTAGCGGAGCTATGTGACTTTATTCTGCTGATGGTCGTGATGTGGTAAATTGCAGCCTGTGTCATTTCCTCCCAAGTTATTTTAAGAGCAGTGATGGACCTTGTGCTTTCCCTAATGTGGCATTTGTACCGGGGCTAGTAGTGCACTCCTGAGATGTTCTTTGAAAGTTTTCACACAGTATCTCGAGAAATTACTTGCAGCCAGGCCCAGGCAGACAGCATCCCAATCCATGTCTGCTCATAGAAAGTTACCTAGAACTGAGGCAGTAAGAGAAACGTAATGCAATGCTTAAAGCACAAGCGCCCAGAGAACAGTAGCTGATCCCGCAGTCCATGTTACAAAGCCCCTGCCCTGTATGTTGGCAAAGTGATCCTTAAAGTTTGGCAGGTCAGTTCAGGAAGGACGTATTCGGTGAGACAGCATTTGATTAATGACCGTCTCTCGTGAGCAACACAAGAGAAATTTGTCATAGTTGTTTCAACCTACTGTTTTCAGTCCCTTGTCCAGCACAAGCATCTCCATCATTTTACCAGGCCAAAAAGAAAACTAATCAATGATTGGACCTTACCTTTTTTGTATCTGTTTAGTTCAGCCTCCAAAACCTGTACTTTTGTTTCCAAAGCAGTTACTTGTCTCTGCAGGTCATCGGTTACTACAACTAGGAGTTAAGGGTGTTATTTAGTAATTTATATTGAAACGACTACACAACAACTGTCTCCGAGGTGCTTAGCTCTCCTGTAACCCCACGCCATGTGAGAGCGCTGTTTGGTTTCCAGAGCAGAAACCACAGGCCACATTGCAGATTTGTTCCATGGGAGTTTGTCCCACTGGGAGAGCCTTATCCCCGACTCGGATGAATGCTTGGGTGGGCTTTGAATTCTCAGGGCTGCCAAAGTCATCTTCTATTCAGAGGGAAAAGCCCAGTTCTCAAAGGCAAAACACACACGTAAACATTTTTAAATGAATTGAAGTTGAAATAAAACACACATGAACAGGCAAAGAATGAAAGAAAAAATGCTGTTTGTAACATAAGATAGAGGGTTCGTTACTTCACTCACAGACAACCATAAACCAGTGACTCAATCCAGACACGTTTTTCTCCCAGTTACGTTGGTCAACTCATCTCCTATGTAACCGACAGTTTATCTTTCTGCTACTCGCACTTCTGAAATCACACCTTTCCTCAAATGATGTTATAAGAATACTGGACATTAACAGAAATATTTTTTGGAAAATATACTACTAAAAGTTGAAAATCAGATTATAGAAACATGAGAAATTTATTTCTTACTTCCACGTTCTCCTTTTTTTCCTTTCTCTCCTTGTGGTCCTAAAGCTCCTTTTATTCCCGGAGGTCCTGCTTTTCCAGGGAAAACCTGTAGACCTCTCAATCCTTCTCCTAGAGTTTGATTTAAAATAAAATTGTTTAAATGTCTTCTCCACTATGTTTTCTTAGTGCTTAGGGAGAGTACTAAACACTGACTCCTTTTCTTTTTTTTTTTTTTTTTTTTACCCCAGGAAAATAAGAACATCTCAGGAAAATTGAATTGTTCCTGTGGAAAGCTTCATTTGCTAGGAAATGCATGACTTTGATGAAAAATTCTTTACTACACCTACTTAAGGCACTGAAAATCCAATGAAATAAATGCTGTCTCATGTTATTGCAGAGGTACACGTGCTCTAGACCCAGAAAGCCGATATACTTCAGCTGTAATCCAATCACACATCACAGTATATGATCTAGAAAATGAGCTAAATCATAAGATTAAGGATGCCTCTGAAGCAGTTTGTTGAAACAGATAGTGCTGGCTTTACTTATTTCAACCATGAAATTGCAGAGGGCATACTGAGGGTGTGTGGACCAGAAAATGTCTATACAGAATACCAATACGTGCCACTGAAATTTTATGTCATAGTTCATATCAAGTGGTATTGATAATGATGGGAGTTCGCTTGGAGGTTGAAAAGCAGTTATCTAATTCCAAGATGTGTGGTATACACATGATAACACAGACAGGCTATGGTATGAAAGTATACGATTCCGTACGTACTTATTAAGTGTTTGGACAGAAACTACGATTTGGCAACGTGGGAGAGCAGGTGACTTGGTTCTACCACGTGACAGAAAGCACTTGCTGATCTATTTGCTGTTTGCAGCAGCGCATGAACAAAGTTACCTAGCTGACAAATCATGCCTTGGGGGAATTCTGTTGCTGGGACTTAGTGAGTATGAAGCAATCGAGTTATGACCGTCAGATTAGTAGCCAACTCTAGCAGCATGATTTCTGGTTTTGAGAGCTGGCCCCTGGAAAGAAAAAGCAATAATCATTTAGTGGGGTATCGTAGGAAACTCTGTAAGTGATTCAGAGTACAAATGGTAACAATCAGATTAAAATCTCATTACATCTCTCTTTTATGGGCTGCTGTGAAAATGTATTGTGTTTCTTTATTTATTAAAAGCCAAGTATCCAGAGCAGCATTATAAATGCAGAAAGCATTTTCAGCTTCCTGAAATTGTGCGGGGCGTACAGAAGGTTAATGGGGCAGAAGAAAAGGAGAAAAGTAAAAAGACAAAATGAAAGAATGAAGGAGGCATGAAACAAGACTAAAGGGATGATAATGAGTGTCAAAAATACAATATTGCTAAGTGGTCACAGCTCTGTACCTGGTTCTCCCCTTTCACCTTTGGGACCATCTCTTCCATCTCTGCCTGGTAAGCCATTGACTGCAGGAGCACTGCACTGAATTTACTGGGTAGGAATAAATTTTCTCTTCAGGTTTATCTGTGTTAACTGAACTTGTTGCCGTCAACGGTGAAAGCCAAAGTACCAAGGCATTGAAAGGCTGAAGAAGAGTCATCGCTAAGTTGACAGATCTGTGACAAATCAAGCAGAGTAATTTCATAAATTTCTCCGTTTACATCATTTTAAAGGGTCGCCTAGGAAAGAGTTGCCTACATTGCCTAGGAAATACACTCTCGTCTTCAGGCAAAAGACCAAGAACAAGGGATAGTGTCTGAACCGTTTCATCTAGCCTCTGATTGTATCTTTATGTATGGAAACCAGAAGAGAAACAACCAAGCTTGTAAGAATCTGAAAATCTCAAGGTGTAATGAAAATACCTAACGTAGCAACAGTCATCAATCTCACCGTGCTGCAAATCCGTTTCAATGTTTTGTTCAGTATATGTCTAAATTTAAAGCATTTCTCTTCATGCCAAATGAGTCACACGGTATTCCAGTTTGGGATGAATCCTGAACTCTCCAGCTATTGTATTTCTGCTGGGACTCTTCTTTCCACAGCTATCAAGATTGCTGTATGTCTAAGCTTAGAGCGATTTAAGCTGTTTCTCTTGATAGCATCTCCACTACTAGCAAACAGCCATAGCTTAAAGGACAAAAAGCTTAAATGCATTTAAGTAGTAATGATCTGATTGCCTCCCAATTTCTCCCTTCAGACCTTGTATATTAATGATACATTTCTTCCTCAGTATTACACCTCTGAGCCGAGGTCCTCTTGGATCCCAGATCTGCAATACTTTGCTGCCCTCTCTGAGCGGTAACAGGCAGTAACATCAGAAGGCAAAGCTCTGCATGACGTTCTGACAAGTTGCACCACGGTAATTGTCCTTGATTTTAATATGACGGTCAAATCTGAGGCAATCATGTCCCATGTATTCTGCGTTTAACTGGAAAAAACCAAAATGAAACTACCACAAACATGAACTGACAAACTTCTGTAGTAAATAAGCCACATACTAAAGTCAATTGGCCTTATTTTCTCCCAGTTCTACCGGTCAAAATGAAAAACAAGCCTAAGGAAGCACCGTTTGGTTGACAGATTGGGCTAAGGAGAGAAAATCAAATCCAGCCTGAATTTTGCTACTCACCTCAATTATTTCTCTTTATTTTAAGCTTCAGAAAAGATTACCCAGAGAGAGCAGCTTCCCCTGTCATGTTTCGTCTGATAAAGTACAATATGAAGTATAATCACTAGCCTATTACTGTGAGAACATTATCATTAGGATGAAAAGCAGAGTTTAAGCACCACCACTTTTCTATATACTTCTCTGTGCTTCCTCCATTAGGCTCACATCAAAATACGGGGCGATGGCATACACCAAAATAAAATAAGGAAAGGTATTTAGCTAACTAGCATAACAAAACTTGAATCCTGGTTTATATTTCTTATCCAGCTTCAGGGACTCAAGCCAGTTCTTAACAGCCCTCTAAGGGTTTCCTTCTGCTGAATTTTTGTACTGTGTTAATTATCCAATACCAGGGAAGTTGACATTGCTGCTGCCTCCCATGAAGGCAGCAAGACAAAGCTCAAAATAATGGCACAAAAAAAGAAAACTTGAAAACAAAACATTAAGCTCTCAGAGAAGTCCACGCCCTACAGAGATTCAACCTCACACAAACCTTTGTTGGTTTTGCCTGCCAGGAGCTAAGATCTATTTACCTCCAAAGTTTTCCAAGTTGACCATCCCAATCCCTTATTCTAGGAGAGCCCAAGTGCCTGTTTACCTTTGGCAAATTGGTGGCAGGGTTTCCTAGCAATGAAATCACTTACCTAAGAGACTAATAATTTCCAACAATGGTTTAGATAAAAAAGCGACATGTTCCAAATTTCTCACCAAAATGGAGTCAATCTTAGGGAGCTGAAATAGAAAAAACAAGTTTTGCAATTCATATTTGTATTTAGAGAAGATGGAGGATCCCACATGGAGAATCACACTAAGCGTGGATATAAAGACAGTCCTCAGGTCCTAAGGCTTACACAGTTGCAGACTTTCTCAGCGGAGATCAGAATTAGGCCCTGAAAGATGCCACGAAACTTTTGTATTTAGGAGGTAGCTAGTTCTGGAGGTCCTATTTAAAGACATAGAGCTCAGGTAATTCTTTTGTTCCTCCATAAAAAGTGCTTTAGTTGTTCCTCCATAAAAAGTTACCTGATTGACCCAATGCGGGGAAGGGATCCTGGAAGAGGCAGCAGGGAGTCCTTGTTCCAGACCTAGTCTCAGAGGTGACAGCCCAAAACCTGAGAGCCTGACAGCACAGGACAGCCCCACTGAAGTCAAGTACTAGGGAAACTGCTCCTCAAAAGCAGATGTTACCTTTGTGCAGAGGATACTCGGGGGCAGAATGCTGTTAAAACTGATAGATTACATCCTGCTAACAGTCCTCCTCATCAGCTTGCCGTGCTCCGGTAGGGCAGCCTACAAAAGTCCTTTCTAACCAGCAGGCCTGCACCTGCAAGGGTTGCATGGCCTCAGTATGGTCAAATACTTGTCACAGCAAAAGAGATCTTTACTTACCAACACGTTTACTTGATCAGTACCAGTGAAACTCTTATCGCACCATGGGCATCCCTGACAGCCAGCACAACAGAACGTAGCAGAGAAGAAATGGAACACCTGCTGGATTTTTACCATGAGGACGAGCCTGCCAAGAGAAAAAAAAAATCCCCTACATTTCTACTGAAAGCCGTACTTTTGTGCTTTATTTTGGGAAGAGGTTGCTTACTGGCTTATCTCTGTCTTGCACAATCCTAACGATTGCCTACCTCAATCTTACCACCCCTATTTACAGGTACTGCATAGGACATTCTGGGAGCGAGCCTGGCCTTGGACAGACATTGGCTGTGTTACAGTACAAATGAACAACCAAAAAATCAGAACAATTGCAGGCACTGAAAGTTTTGACTCTAAGGTTTTTCCCCTTTATTCAGTCAATGGATTCATTTTTTAATAACCTCGGAGAGGGAAGGACATTTGAGGCTTGCTTGACTGCAGTGACTGCCTTTCCTGCAATGTATTCTGAATTATCCCTGGAAAAAACTTGGCCAACTCAAACATACCCATTTACGTTTAAAAATGGGATGTGGGATTTGGAAAAACAACATGGGGTGAAGGAATATATCTTTAAACTTTTAAGTAAATCACTTACTAACCTGTCTTCCTATAATGCCAGTGATACAGTTAGTGATTAGAATAAACTTCTCAATAGAGCTTGCACTGTCCAGCTAGCTATGGTACCATCGCGTGGACATGAAAAATACAGTAGCAAGAATACTGTGTGGGATATTGCCACGGGTAGCTCTGCAAAATTAATAACAAAATATAACGCTGAGGAAGAGATGTCTCGGGCAATTCTGCCTGCAGAAAATTTCCTTACCCAGAGGAAGGTCTGTTAGACACCTCCAGCTGCAACAACCAATTCAAACTCTCCATCCCTGCAGCAGTGGCAGGGGTGCTTTTGTTCCCAAGATCCCATTTCTGGGACTGTTCTCCGACGTGGTGGCATCAGATAGAGAGCACGTAGGCTGTCAGGCTGCCTTTGTATCTTTCCTGTTCAGGAGCTAGAATAAATTTAGTCTCAGTAAAAATAAAATGAAAACATCGGTTCAGAGCAGTGCTATTTGTCAGCCATGATTTGATAAAAACCTTGTAGAGCCAACATCGTTAAACAGAGATTTGGAATTAGACATCTATTTGTTTAAATGGGAAGCTGCAATGTCCACACCAACCTTTGCTATTTTGGCCAAGAACCAAATGTGGTATCTGTATGCTGTCAACACATGGCATCCAGGGCTCATCCTGTAACCTTGTAACCCACAAAAATGTCTGGTTTGTTGAATGTCTGCTGAACTTCCCTGAAGGTTCCTTGCCTGCAAAAGCAGAAGTATGAAGCAGGTGGGATTCTCAGCAATTTCCCCACCTCTATGTTCTCGCCAGGTCAGGACACCATCTTGCTGAAACACAGTTTATCACACAGTAGAAATTTTACTAAGCTGTGGCAAACCCAGCATGTTTATATGCGGTATCCAAACCTACAGGACTACTGTAAATACCTGCATCAAGTGACAAATAAAAATCATAAGGGCAGGTGGCTCGGTATTCACAAGTTCTTAAATGTCTTTCTTCACTGGATTTGTAACTTCATTTTCTATCTCCTTATTTCTACACAGCCTTCCCTTCCTCCAGAATTACTTGGTTCTCCTGATTCCCGGTTTGAGTACCGAGTTCCTCGCTATTTAGATCCTTGAACGAACCTCCTTTCTGCATATCATTCATCTGGGGGAACAGTCTTATGTCTGGCTGCTCTTTGATACATGGTGCAGCTCTCTGCAGATTTCCTTGGAGAAGCAAGCAGCTCAGCACGTGAGAACACTTGGCTTTTGAAGTTTCAAACTTGCCTTCGGAGCCATCAGTTTTGAGTGTTCTTCACTAGCAGCAATATCATATGGGAATAAAAGAAGCGGGAACTATATCCAATTATTTTCATCGCAGCATAGCAGGGTGACAGCTTCTAGACACTTGCAAAAGAATATATGGCTAAAGCAGCGGATAGAAATGCACAGCTAGCTCATTGATTCACTTTAATGTCAGATCAACAGAGCGCTCTTATCCCCAAACCAGGAGTTTACAAAGTATTTCAAACTTTTCATTGAGACAACTAGAGTCAGGATTAAAGACTTCTGAAGAACAAAACCCTAGGAATAACCTTGTTTCAGAAAACCCTCAGACCAGGCATTGTGGAGCACCGTTATTAATAGGTGCTCATACAGTGAGTTTAATTAGAGCTCTTAGGAAGATACAAAGTGGAAGCTGTCCCGTGCAGGATCTTTTTCTTCTGAATTAGGAGTGATTTATCCCTCGCCTGCGTAACCTACCATGCATCCGTACTTCTGCACAGTAAGAAGGATGGAGCAGAGCTGAGGCTCTTCATCTATTTCTTTTCACGTGTCAGCCTGCCACAGAGACTATGCAGATGAACGGTTGCTTCCTGTTTTGGGCTAGTACCCTGAGTCAGCCCTCATTAATGATACAAGTCCTTGGATGTCCTGTGTCCACTCTGT